TGTTAATTGGGAAGCCTGGTAGAGGATATCTGGGAGTTCTGTCTACTACTTTTAAAAAGTTCACCTTCAATGACATCACTTTCAGGTCAAACCAAGTTTATCTTGCATCCATAAATGCTACTTCATTTTTATATCACAACACTTAACACAGTAGATATTGCACATAGTAGGTATTCTGCCAGTGTTTATTTGCTTTTATTAATGATATGTAATTTGTCTCCATAACTGTCCTGCTTTGGCAGTTGTTACATTGTTTTGTTCTTTTGTCTTTTTCTCCACTATTCTGAAATCATTCATGACAGAGACTATAATGTCTACAACAGGGGTGGGCAAACTTTTTGACTCGAGGGCCACAATGGGTTCTTAAACTGGACCAGAGGGCCGGAACAAAAGCATGAATGGAGTGTTTGTGTGAACTAATATAAATTCGAAGTAAACATCATTACATAAAAGGGTACGGTCTTTTTTTTTCAATAGTTTTATTCATTTCAAACGGGCCGGATCCGGCCCGCGGGCCGTAGTTTGCCCACGGCTGGTCTACACTAATGTAGAGTTTCTAATTTCGATATGGTTTACTTGCACATTACTGAATACAGATGATCACATTACTGCCAGAGAACTACTTTTAATTCTTCCTACTATGATCTTAGTATTTCCATCTGCCACTGATTGAAAGACTCTGTCTGCCATTATGGTCTTTCCTTCTCCATTTACTGTTTCTGTGACTCATGTAGAGTTTAAGAGACATGTTAAATAGTCAATACATGGAAATACTATGACAGATTATATTCTAACAGTAATATTTGTAGTAGTCCTATCTAATAAATGTTTTTTATTGCATTTTACTATATTTTCAAGCTGTGTTCTGTAGCTGTTTTTGTCATCCACACTATCTTATTCCATTCTTATTAATACTATTAATACTTACGTATAATTTTTCTTACCCTTACACCTTTCTAACCCAGAACACTATTTTTTTCCAGATGGTATTTTGGCAAAATGGGGAGAAAAGATGCTGAAAGATTACTTCTGAATCCTGGGAATCAACGAGGTATTTTCTTAGTAAGAGAAAGTGAAACTACTAAAGGTATGAATATTGTTATGTTGATATAAGTATAAAAACGTTCTTATGCTGTATTTTGAGAAAGATATACCAAAAGTTTTCATTTCTTCCTGCTCCACCAGGTGCTTATTCCCTTTCTATTCGTGATTGGGATGAAGTAAGGGGTGACAATGTGAAACACTACAAAATTAGGAAACTTGACAATGGTGGATACTATATCACAACTAGAGCACAATTTGAAACTCTGCAGAAGTTGGTTAAACACTACACAGGTATGTAATATTTCAAAGCTGAAAATTATTTCTTCAGTTGTTTTTTATGAGGACAGAATCCATATCTTCATGTCCTTTAGGTTTAGCATGTTTCTTTACACATAATATGTGTTCACTGGATGTCTTCTGTTTTCTAATTTTAAAATGAGGAACAGGTAATACTTATTATCTGAATTGGGTTCTTGGATGATGTGCTAAAATCAGATTATCATTTGAGTCTTTATTTTTTACTGGTGTAGTGTTTACATTGGAGTTCCATTTCATGACAGCTAAATACGAAGATAGATTGTGACAATAAATGAAAAGGCAAAACAAATATTTAATTTAGGGACACTTACTAGGAGGTAAAGCTGCCCTGGCCGCTGTGGCTCAGTTGGTTGAGTGTTGTCTCATGCACAGAGAAGTCGCTGGTTCGATTCCTGGTCAGAGCACATGCCTGGGTTGTGGGCTTGGTACCCAGTAGGGGGCATGCAGGAGGCAGTTGATGGATCCATCTTCTCTATTTTTCTCCCTCTCCCTTCCTTTCTCTAAAACCAATATGATCATATTTTTTTTAAAAAAGACGGTAAGCTAAAAACCTAAAATAAAAAGTTGTATCAGCTGTCCTTTTGGTTTACCTTCTTCTGCATGAGATGGACTACATAAGACTTCCTGAAAGTATAAACATAGTGAGATTTATTTATTAAATAAAATAAATCTAGTGAAGATGCATTTTTCTTTTCCTAAAAAATAAGCTATATCATTCTTCAGTTTTTCAAGGATCTTTGAAAGGTATTTAATATTAGTCTATCTCAAAAATTTTCATTGTCAATTTGATACTTGACTGCATCTGAAAGTCTTTAAATGATTAATGCTAGGGGAGGGGAAGTTCCTATGGCAATTTCTTCTTCAGTAACAGCTGCAAACTGAATTTATCAAGTAATCCTCCAATGTTGACATTGGTCAAACATATTGCCAAACAGTGGCATCAGTTGTAATTGCAATTGTTAAAATGCCAGTTTGCATGGTTACTTGTTGAGAATGGGAGGGAGCATGTCTTATTTACAATAAGAAAGATTGTATAAGCAGAATTTACAAGTCAAGCCATTATGAATTTGGGACTCCCTGTTTTTGTGTCTCCCTTATTTAAAAATTAGTTTTTTAAAAGAAGTTTTCCCTTGATTTTTGGTGTGCTTTTTATATTAGTGATTTTTAGAAATAACAGTTAATGGTAGTGTTCTTTTTAGAAAGAAATAAAGCTGAGTAGTCAAAAGTAGAACTTTGGAGGCAGCCAGACCCTGGGTTTGAATCCTATCTCCATCATTTACTAATTGGGTGACCTTGAGAGTGTCGATGAATTTTCCAAGACTCATTTATATGAGATATCTGTAAGTTGCTGAATTAGCACAATAGCTGGGACATAAGTATTCAATACATAACTTTTTAAATGTAATTAATAAAATGTTTCATTTCTTGTGTGTTTTGCTTTTTACATACAATTTTTTTCTGTTTTTATTTTAAAAAACTAATAGAACATTATATTTTTTGTTTTCTATAGTTTCAACTTTTTAAAACATTGATACACTACATGTAACTTATTTTTTGTAAGTAACTAATTTTACAGTATAGTTTATTCATTTACCTAGAACATGCTGATGGCTTATGCCATAAGTTAACAACTGTATGTCCAACTGTGAAACCCCAGACTCAAGGTCTAGCAAAAGATGCTTGGGAAATCCCTCGAGAATCTTTGCGACTAGAAGTTAAACTAGGACAAGGATGTTTTGGTGAAGTATGGATGGGTAAGAAGCCTGAACCTTTGTGTGTGTTTTTGTAATTGTTTTGCCATAGATAAAAATACACAATTTATGATAAGATATGTTGAAATATTTTAAGTCACTGTTGCTCATTGAAGTTTGCTAAGAATTTCTTTCAAGTGTAGATCAAAATAGTAAGTGTTGTTTCTCTAGGAACATGGAATGGAACCACAAAAGTAGCAATCAAAACACTAAAACCAGGTACAATGATGCCAGAAGCTTTTCTTCAAGAAGCTCAGATAATGAAAAAATTAAGACATGATAAACTTGTTCCACTATATGCTGTTGTTTCTGAAGAGCCAATTTATATTGTCACTGAATTTATGTCAAAAGGTATGTGTATATAAGTCTCTTATCCATGTTAATACATTTTTAAAAACAAGTCTTCAGTTTTTTATGCATACAAATTTTTATTCTATAGTGTTTTCTACTTTGAGATTTTTATGTAAACATTTGAAAAGAAAAAAATCTGACATTGTGTTATTCCAAAGGATAGTACAAAGTTTCAAAGGAAAATAAGCAGGCTGAATTTATTTTGCAAGTAAATAGTCCTTAATTTCATGTGACCAAAGGAAATGGAATAGCTAGGAAAGTGAAAAAGAAAGTATTTGTAAAATTGAATTAAAATAATTCAATCAAAGATATTTATATCTTTGATACTAAATCAAAGAAATTAATTTTATTTCATTTTAATATAAGCATAACTTTCATACTCAGGCATCTAGAAACATTCTTTTTTCAGTAGTCAGCTGAAGTGTCTCCATTTTCCCAAACCCCCAGTTGGGATCTTTAGTTCCAGGGTTGGTTAGGGCCAGGATTAAAAACAAGGGGAAGTTGTTGCTCTTCCCTCCTTTTCCCTTTGCCTAATGTGCTTTAGAAGAAAAACCAGTTATAAAATATGCTAATAGGCTCCCTTTTTACCTTCTTGAATTTTATCTACATTTTTAAACTCTTTAATGAGTCACTCATCCATATTAACACTGATTATTATGTCATCCCTCTCCAGTAGTCCATCTTGACCAACAATGTAGTTCCATCTAGTGGTGACAGGGTCAACTACAAGCTATACATTTGCTATAGGAAATGTTTCCCCCCCCTAAAAGGGATAGAAGAACCAAAAGGTTAAAATAACTCCATAGCCTTCTAATTGATAGCCAAGACATACCTAAAGCCTCAAAGCACATGGTACTTTTTGGAAGGAAGCTCTCCTGCAAACCACTGCCAAATATCCCATTTCAGAGTGCATTAGGTGAACTAGAAAGGGAAGAAAAGAGACAACAAAGAGGAGGTTTAAATCAAGATATTGATAGTATAAGAATATTGGTAAAGCTAATGGCCCATTAGCTTTGTATATTGATTTCAAGAATTATTTTATTGGGGGAAGCATGGTAAAAGTCTTGTTGTCAGGTTGCTGGGTTAGGATTATTCCTAGATGGGAGATTTAGAATGTAAGGTCACAAATATCCCTTCTATTTTTTAAAATTCTGTAATTCCCCATCTTGCAGTTGGCCCTCTATAATCCATCCAAACTCATTGCCTCAAGTGCTTTCACATAAATCCACTTTTCTGGCCAGAATGGTCTTCTTGTTGCTTCTTGTTTCCATGAATTTGTTCATGTTATTTCGTTCACCTGGAATTTGGTTTCCTTATCTCTTGACCAGTCCATCAACTGTAATTTATTCAGACCGTACTTAAGTCGGGTTTAGGAGCCTTCCACTGATAGTCCAGTGTGTCATGATCATTATATCCTCTGCAGTCTTTTCATTCAAACTACTCTAGAAGTTATTAACAACCAGAATGTATTGAATGCTTCTAGTATATAAGGTACTCTGCTGTTTATTATACGGTAGATTAAATTTGGAGAGAAAAGACCAAGACTTCTGAAGAGTTAATTTTTAGCATAAAAGTAAATAACAGTTTACTATACAAGTGAAGCTACAGGCCAACGCATAATAAATTTCAGTAAGTATAATAGAAATGAGGAAGAGATTACACAGGCTGGAATAAATTGAGAAAAATTAGTAGAAAAGAAAAGTCCTGACTTGCCCTTTATGGTTATGAAGGATATGGATGTGTAAAGGGCAGAGCTAAGAGGATTGAGGAAATGAGAAACAGAACCATAGCTAGTGAAAAGTACAGAAGTAGTAGAAGAAACTAGTTGGAAATAAGCCTAGAGAGGGGTATATGAGATAAGCTTAAGAATTGCTTTCAATTGATTTCACTATTATTTATTCAGTACTTACTGAATGAGTTTTCGGGTCTATGAACTTTTTCTGAAGTTATTATGTGTCAATTTTTGCATAACTTATGTATGTTTTCTGGAAAGAGTTCATAGTTTTCATCAGATTCTCAAAATAACTTATGGGGCAGAAAAAGTTATGGACCACTAGTAAGATCCAAAACAATCTATTATAAGTGCATATAAGAAACATATTAAGGGGATTGGGTATTTTTATGATTAGTTAAAGATCAGAGAACAAGAATTGTCACAATGATACAAATTCCAATCCCAGATTTCTATACTCTGCAGCTTTTGCACAAAATATTTTAGCACTTTTGTTACACTGAATGATGTTCTACTTAGAGTATTGATCAAAGAACTATCTTCTTTCTATACACTTGGTTCTGACTCTCCTTTTGCAGCCTCATTCTCATCTTTGGGCTCTGTGTTCTTGTGTCAGAAGGACTGATTTCAGTTCCCTGAACTTACTGTGCTGTTTTATGCATTACAGACTTTGTACTTGTTATTCCCTCTTGGAATTCCCTGTTTGCCCCCATTCTTCCTTTAAGATGCATCTTCTCTGTGAAACCGTTTCTAACTTGTCTATAGAATTAACTATATCCACTGTGCCTCTACTGTAGTAGTTACAATAACTTTAATAACTCCTACCATACAATATTTGTTTGCATATATTTTATAGATATATATACTATCCTCCTATATAATAAAGAAGTAATATGCAAATTGACCCATCACACCCTCGCACAAATGGCCACCCACATGTGGGCACAAGATGGCCAGCATGGGAGCGCAGTGGTGGGCAATCAGGCCAGCAGGGGAGGGCAGTTGGGGGTGAGCAGGCCGGCAGGGGAGCAGTTAGGCATCAATCAGGCTGGCAGGGGAGTGGTTAGGGGGTGATCAGGCTGGCAGGCAGAAGTGGTTAGGGGCAATCAGGCAGGCAGGCGAGCAGTTGGGAACCAGCAGTCCCGGATTGTGAGAGGGATGTCCGACTGCCGGGCTTGGGCCTAAACTGGCAGTAGGACATCCCCCAAGGGGTCCCAGATTGGAGAGGGTGCAGGCTGGGCTGAGGGAGAACCCCCCCACCCCCCTGCACGAATTTTGTGCAGCGGGCCTCTAGGACTTTCATATTAGATCAATATCTTTTCAAGGGCAGAGACCATGACTTACTTATCTTTATATCCTCTATACCTTTTTGCAGTGCCTTACATGTAGTAGGCTCTTGGTAAATAACTTGAATGGGCAGATAAATGGACAAACACAGTAACATGTTCCCCTTAGTAAGTAGACAGACCGGAAGAAATGTAGATATTCTTTGACTTTGATACTGTATACATGAGACTGTCATGATTTTCCTTCTTTTATAATCATGTCACATAGAAGGGGCATTCTTTGTCTTGTTTTATTTTACTTTCCTTTTGAAATACTTTTAAACTTACAGAAAAGTCGCAAAAATAATACGAAGAATTCCTGTATATATTTCAGCCAGATTTGTCAATTGTTAACTAGATATATCACTAATATATAAAATAAAGGGTTTTCCTCTGAACTATTTAAGAGTACATTGCAGATATTATGTTTCCTTCTAAGTATGTCAGTGTTTTTCTCCTACAGACAAGAACATTGTCTTATATAACAACAGTATAATGATAAAGTTCAGGAACTATAACATGGATACAATTCTATCTATAATAATAAAAGCGTAATATGCTAATTAGACCGAACGTCCTTCCAGATGACCTTCTGGATGAAGCCGGGGCTGCGAGGGAACCCCGGGTCCTGGGTGCCTGCTGGCAGCTGGAGGAAAGCCCAGGTCCCGGAAGCCAGAGGGAAGCTGGTGCCGGCAGCCCGGGGGAAGGAAGGCCTACTCCTGCACGAATTTCGTGCATCGGGCCTCTAGTTATTTAATATTAGTCTATATTAAGATTTCACCAGTCATGCTAGTGATATCCTTAATTACAGCAATTTTTCCCTGATCCATTGTCTAATCCACTGGTCGGCAAACTCATTAGTCAACAGAGCCAAACGTCAACAGTACAACGATTGAAATTTCTTTTGAGAGCCAACTTTTTTAAACTTAAACTATATAGGTAGGTACGTTGTTATTAACTTAATTAGGGTATTCCTAAGGCTTAGTAAGAGCCACACTCAAGGGGCCAAAGAGCCGCATGTGGCTTGCGAGCTGCAGTTTGCCGACCACTCGTCTAATCCATAGTCACCAATTTGTTTTTTTTAAATATATTTTATTGATTTTTTACAGAGAGGATGGTAGAGGGATAGAGAGTTAGAAACATTGATGAGAGAGAAACATCAACCAGCTGCCTCCTGCACACTCCCCACTGGGGATGTGCCCGCAACCAAGGTACATGCCCTTGACCGGAATCAAACCTGGGACCTTTCAGTCTGCAGGCCGATGCTCTATCCACTGAGCCAAACCGGTTAGGGCGTCACCAATTTCTTTTAGTTGTAATTTTTCTTTTTTAAGAGAATGGTACCATTGTTTTATAAAATGTGTCTTAATTTAGATTTATCTGATATTTTCTCCTGATTAAATTGAGTTAGTGGTATATTTGAAACCAGTAATAGAGGAATAGACTTTTCATTTCTAGCCTTTCTCTCTGCTGTTATTCATAATACTTTGCTGTTGTATATCTTCTGCTGAAATTGAGAGAAGTCAGTTGGACTAACACTTCCACATCAACTGAGCCACCTAGATTTACTTTTAAGTACCCCAAGATATTCCCAGTTGTCTTTAGTTCTTAATTCTGACTGACTTAAAAATATGTAAGGATACTGCTTTTTGAATCAAAATTAGAACTGTTGATCTTGATCAAAGCAAGGAAGGAATGCCTATAATCTGGTGAGATTATCTCATTTTCCTTTTTTCTTACGTTAACAAGAAAATTTTACAAAATTTCAGTTTAGGGCCTCTAGAGTCTTAAAGATAGTTATTCGGTAATTTCAAGCTACAAAAAATGTTAAAGAATGAAAAGCTGAAGTTTTTGTATTGTGATGTGATTTATTTGCTTATTTTCCATGAATATCTTGCTGTCTCTTATAGGGAGCTTATTAGATTTTCTGAAGGAAGGAGATGGAAAATATTTGAAGCTCCCACAATTGGTTGATATGGCTGCTCAGGTACTTGTATATTATACCTGTATCATCCATTTGAATCGAAAGTGCACTAAACATGTAAAATAATTTTAGTGGAATGCTGTTGTTTGTATAATGAAATCATGAAATTTAAGAGCTGGAAGAGATATCCTATATAATAAGAGGCTAATATGCAAATTGTCCCCTCCACTAGGAGTTCAACCAGGGGGCAGGGCTGGCTGGCCAACTGCCTGTGGCCCCTCCCCACAGCTGACCCAGCCCGATTGGCCCGATCGGGGCAGGTTGGCTGGACCGCACTCATGAATTTGTGCACCAGGCCTCTAGGTATAGATAATCCAGTCTGATCTCCTAGTTATAGATAATTTAATTATAGGTAATGTTGTTTCTGAAGACCAGAACTATTTAAAATTCAGGTAGTGTTAGTATTAGAACCAGGTATGTACCTACCATAACACTTCTGTCCTGAATCATATGGCCTTTCAGAAACATACTGCATCCACAAATATAAAATCTATATATATTATTTTAATCCTCACTCAAGGATGTGGGTTTTTTTTTGTTTTTTGTTTTTTTAATGACTTTAGAGAAATGGGGAGAAGGAAATACCATTGTGAGAGAGAAACATCTATCGGCTGCCTCCCATACACGCCCCAACCAGGGATTGAACACACAACCTGGGTATGTGCCCTGACAAGGAGTCGAACACACAACCTTTTGGTGTAAGGGATGATGCTCCAACCAAATGAACCATTTGGCCAGGGCTATATGTATTTATATTTTAACAGATAAATTTTTAGACAGTGAATGATAGCTATTCCTAAGGAAATAGTACTTTTGGAAATCTCAAATATCTGATGAAGTTTAGGGAAACTTTTTTTTTTTTTTTTAAATATAGTTTATTGATTTTTTTACAGAGAGGAAGGGAGAGAGATAGAGAGTTAGAAACATCGATGAGAGAGAAACATCGCTCAGCTGCCTCCTGCACATCTCCTACTGGGGATGTGCCCGCAACCAATGTACATGCCCCCAACCGGAATCGAACCTGGGACCTTCTAGTCCGCAGGCCGACGCTCTATCCACTGAGCCAAACCGGTTTCGGCTTTAGGGAAACTTTATACTAAGAAACTGTCTTGTGAAACATTAGCGTATGCCACACCTAGCTCACACCCCTGAGTTCAAGGCTCTTGGACTTTCTACAGTAGAGGTTGGCAAACTGTTTTTGAAAAGAGCCAGATAAATGTTTTAGGCTTTGTGGGCCACATACATCCCTGTTGTTTCTCCTTCTCTTCCTCCTCCTCTCCTGTCCTTCCTTTCCTCCCCAGTCTCCCATTCCCCTTCCCTGTCTTCCTTCTTCTCAATTATAGTGTTTTCTATTTTTCTTATTATCTGCAAAATTATGCCCTGTTATCTCCTTTCTAGATATATGATTTTTCAGTGATCTAATTTAATACTAACCAAAATTGTTTTATCCCTCCTTTCCATTGTATCATGTGTCTTTTTATTTTTCTCTTTCCAAGATTGCTGATGGTATGGCATATATTGAAAGAATGAACTATATTCACCGAGATCTTCGGGCTGCTAATATTCTTGTAGGAGAAAATCTTGTGTGCAAAATAGCAGATTTTGGTTTAGCAAGGTTAATCGAAGACAATGAATATACAGCAAGACAAGGTAAAATTATTATTTTGTTTGTTAATCCTCACCTAAGGCTTTTTTTTTCATTGATTTATTTTAGAGAGAGTGGATGGGGGGAGTGACGGGAGAGAGAGAGAGAGAGACGTTGATATGAGAAAGACACATTGATTGGTTGCCTCCCACATGATACCCGACCAGGAATTGGGAATTGAATCTGCAATGCAGGTATGTGCCTTTGACAGGAATTGAGCCTGAGACCCTTCAGTGCGTGGGCTGATGCTCTAACCCAGTGGTTGGCAACCCGTGGCTCGCGAGCCACATGCGGCTCTTTGGCCCGGGAGCCATGCGGCTCTTTGGCCCCTTGAGTGTGGCTCTTCCACAAAATACCAACTTCTGTACATGGGCCACGAAGTTTCAATTGCACTGTATGCGCGCGCTCGCACCTGGTATTTTGTGGAAGAGCCACACTCAAGGGGCCAAAGAGCTGCATGTATTTCCTGAGCCATGGTTTGCCGACCACAGCTCTAACCATTTAGCTACTTGCCAGGGCAGTTGCCCCCTTTCTAATGAAACCTTTTGTGATTGTGTAGTGAAAATTGATCTTCTGTTTGAACACCTAAAGAACTATTTTATAACACTATATACATATATATAGAAATAACCTGAAGTATGTAAAACACCTATTGTTGCCCTATCTATATATATAAAAGCCTAAGTGACTGGAACGACCAGTCGCTATGACGTGCACTGACCACCAGGGGATAGACGCTCAATGCAGGAGCTGCCGCCTGGTGGTCAGTGCACTCCCACAGCCAACCTCCCCTGGCTGTCAACCTCCTGTTGTCCCTCCCCCAGCCGTCAGGCCCCAGTGGCTGGTGGCCAACCTCCCATGTTCCCCCCTCCACAATCTTTCCCCCAGCCTGCAGGCCTCAATCAGCCCTGATTGCCGGCCAGGCTAGGGACTCCACCCGTGCACGAATTACATGCACCGGGCCTTTAGTATGTATATAAGCTACATGAAGGCTATGCTTTTCTCACCCATAACAATTACCATAATGTCTTGTGCATAAAAAGCATACAATAAATATTTGAATTAATTAATACAGACTTTAAAAAATTATAGTACAACAAAATTTTCCAGAGAGATTTCATAAAATGAAAAAGAGATTATCGTCAAAAACCAGTAGACATTAGAACCCAACAGAATATGCCTTTTTCAACCAATGATGAGCTATGGCTGTTAGGTGATAGACTACTTAAAAGTTACTGGTCCTATAATACACCGTTTGTTTTTATTTTTTTTTTTGTTTTTCATCTTCACCCAAGGATATGTTTCTATTGATGAGAGAGAGAGACAGAGACAGAGAGAAACAGAGAAACATCAGTCGGCTGCCTCCCATATGCACCCTGACGGGATTGAACCAGAAACCTGGATATGTGCCTTGACTGCGAATCAAACACATGACCTTTCAGTGTATGGGATGATGCTCCAACCAACTGAGCCACAATGACCAGGCCTATAATACACATTTTATTGTTGTTGTTTTTTTAAATTTGTCTTCATTGTTGAAAGTATTTTTTCCTCTATTGACCCTCTCCACCCCACCCTATCCCCTCCCCAGGCCTTCCCCACACTATTGTCTGTCCATGGGTTTTCTTCGGTTTATCTTTTCCCCTAGCCCCACCCCCCGAAATTCATTAGTCTTTTGTATGCTTCAATGTCTCTGGATCTATTTTGTTCATCAGTTTATTTTTGTTCATTAGATTCCACATTTTAAATATTTAAAAAAATGTTTCCCATGTATCTTGCACTTTTGAAGAATTTAAATCTGATGACATATACAATAAAGATAGTGACAGAAAGTTAGCCCTCCTTATGCCATTATTTACACAAACAGATTTTTAAAACAGTTTACTTAAGCAAGATGTCATATTGTTTTAGGTGCAAAATTTCCAATCAAATGGACAGCTCCTGAGGCTGCACTATATGGTCGATTTACAATAAAGTCTGATGTGTGGTCATTTGGAATTCTACAGACAGAACTGGTAACAAAGGGCAGAGTGCCATATCCAGGTAAGCTTGCATTTACTAGCTCTTGTTTATCCCATTAGTGACTTTAATTGGAGATTATTAGGAGCAGAATGTAAGGGCGAAGGCCTTTTTTTTCTTCTCTCATTGTCTCTTTCTCTTTCTCTTCCTCTCTTTATTTTGGCATTGGATGGACAGCAACCTGTGAGAGCCACAATCCTTGATATAGGGCATGAGGTTTGCCCCCTTTGACTTCAGCTTTCTCTCTTAGGGCATTTTCCAAAAGGGTTATTTATCTCTACTGTTCTCTCAGATAATAAACATATCTTAAATATCCTGGCTCATCTTGCCCTCCCAACCTCCCTCTCCAAGCCCCTCTCTTACAAGTTGTGATAGATAACACAGGGTGAGCTGTGGATTCCTTGTACAAAGGAATACAAGAAAGGAACTATATAATAACTTGAAGAAAGTTAAACAGGTGATGTTAGATAAAGACACTGTTATAGGAAAGTGGCTTGATATAAAGTTACATAGTAAGTGTACTTAGCAAAACCAGGACTAAAACGCTTCTTCTGAATTTCTATCTGAAAGTTCTTTTAGACACTATCTTACTGCTCACTGTTCCTTTTTGCCCACGTTTGGTAATTAATAACTGTTAATATCAGAACCTCAAAGTACCACCCTAAATTTTCATTAATCAATTGGGATTGGCTTTTGAAGGCTTTAGTGTTGAAAGTAAGGTTTACTGTGGAATGAAAAAAACTAGATCTTCTGAAACAGCCTAGCATTTTCTAAGGTCTTTTTGATATACTTTGACATTGAAAATTTATTTCTTTGTTAAAATAATTTCAGCCCTAGCTGGTTTGGCTCAGTGGATGGAGTGTCAGCCTGCAGACTAAAGGGTCATGGATTCGATTCCAGTTAAGGGCACATGCCCATGTTGTGGGCTTGAACCCCCAGTGGGCGGCGTGCAGGAGGCAGCTGATCAATTATTCTCATTGTTGATGTTTCTCTCTTGC